CTCAGTTCTTTCTCTGTCTCACCAGGGGGCTTGGGGAAGTCCCTTCCCTTCTCCACTCTGGGCTGTTCTTTTCCTGCTGGTCCCACGAGGGAGCAGCATTCCATGGTGGCTGACTGGGCCATTTTTACTGTGCCTGAGGCTGGCCCACCAGCAGGGGTCGGAAGGCTAAATTCAGATCAGCTCACCCTGGGCCGTGGGGACAAGGGCTTCAGGGCTCCCGTGATGGGAACACACGTCCACATGCAACACACGGGGCCGGAGGCCGGGGCACTGAAGCAGGAAGTGAAGGACTGTTAATAGGACACTGATGCTGGTGGGCAAAGTCGCTCCCCAGGGGATGGCCAGACAGGAAGAACCCTAACCCAGTGACTCCCTACCCCCCCGCCATCTCTAGCTCTCTCTGTATCCTTCTCACCCGGGTTGGGAATGGCTGTCACGCAGCATCAGATGTCCGCAGAGCTCACCAGCATCTCGGGTATAACAATAGGCCACCTTCCTCAGCCCCGGATGAACATTAGAATTTGCTGAGAATGCCCAGGTCCCACCCTGGAGGTTCTGGTTTAGAGGCTCTGGGGACTCAGTATTTTTAAAAGCTCTGTAGGTCATTCTTTTGGGCAGTCAGGGTTGAGAAGGCTCCCCTGAAGTTAGAGATGGGGAACTGAAGCCTTCAGTGGCTGCCCATGACCTTAGAGGGGGTGAGTGCTCCCCAGTTTGCCACAGTCCTCAGCCATGGAAGCTGGTTGCTGCCAGCATCGGAGTTGGAGAGCCCTGATACAAAACTGTACATGCTATAGACGAGGCAGAGGAAGCTATTCATACACACATGGCTATGAACAGTAATTATCTGTAGCAATTAAAATTAGGAAGGAGGGAGTTTCACTTTTTCTTTATGCAAATTAGTAATGTGAAAAAATTTGATACCAAGCATTATTTTTTCTAATGATGATGATAAAACCAATGAAGATGAAGTTGAAAAAAACTTGGAAAACCAAGGTGCTACTCAGCCCCTAGCAGCTCAGCTACTCTTAACCATTTATCCCGGGTCATCCCTGTACTTCCTGTGACCACACTGACCCAAGTGACCACACGAAAACAGGCCAAAGTCTCCAAAGGTTCTGACTTCCCTGGGTCCAGAAATCGCAGGCTGGTTAGGAGCTCGGTGTTTACGTAAGATCTTATTCAAATAAGAACAGTCCCTGAGTTTATATTGGGTGGGGGAGCTGAGAACTTTCACATTTGTAATCTTACGGCAGCCTCAGAACAGACTGGGAGAGCTGGGCAGGGGTTATTACCTTCCTCTTTACACCTCGGGAAACTGAGGCCCAGAGACACGGGGGAAGCGTGGGATAAAGATGACCCACTGGGTAAATGGCAGAGTCGGCTTGTTCCCAGGACTACTGATTCCCCACCCCTTGAATCTCACCCCACCTCCAAAGGCACCCACCTGGCTCTGACCTGGAACAGCTAACTCTAATTGAACCTCCCTGGTATGACTGAAATGTTCTTGAAGTTTGGCACACAGAAGGCTCTCAGGAAAGAGTTCTTGTATCAGATTAGGTAAATAGCACCCCAGGAGAAGTCAAAGGTCCCCAGGATAGGCAGTTTTACATCCATTAATTTACTTAGTGCCCACAACTACCTGGGTGGTAAGGATTAATATCCCCATTTTATGTATGAGGAAACAGGCATAGAACAGTTCAGTAACTGGTTTGTTTATTTATTTATTTATTTCACACACTTATTGATTATCTACTACGTGCCAAACAGTGTTCTAGGTGAACAATACTATAGTTCACAGCAATGAGAAAGACCGACACAAGCTCCCATGGAACCTGGAGTCCACGGAGGAGACGGGTAATAAATCCTTCTCAACTAGCAGTCATAGGAAACTTCAACCTGAATCAAGGTGTAGGGTCTTATTACCCACTCTTTCCAATTCCTGGAACTCTTATACTGGTTTTTATATAATAGCAATAGTATCACTGCCACGTATTAACCATGTCTATGTGCCAGGCTCTCATTTCTCATGTAAGCCTGACAACGATATGTACGAAATGGGTGGTTTTGTCCTCATTTTATAGATGAGAGAAGAGCCTCAGGAAGAGGCCCCCTCTCGCAGCCTCATGAATGAAGAGGCAAGAGGAGGACAATGCTTAACTCAGCTGACAAGACTGCTTCTGGAATGAGAGCGTCTTGGGCATTCCTAAAGGAAAGGCACGGGTGGCAGCCTAGCCTTCTCTGGGCAGAAAAAAGGAGGGGGGAGAGTGGAAGAGTTTAGATTCAAAAGCCAAATGGGCCCCTTACTGGCTGAGGGACTTTGGGCAAATACTTCACCACTCTGTGCATCAGTTTCCTCCTCTGTAAAATAGGCATGATGCCAGGGCCACCCTTGAAGGGCTGAAGTGGAGGATCTAATGAGAACATGCATGTAGAAGGAGAAGCCACCACCCATGTGGCCCTGGTCCCCCAGGCAGTGCAAGGAGCAGAGTGTGTAAAAGAACTGAAGAGAAGCAGCAGGGCTGCCCTCCAAGGCTGAGGATCCCTAGGGTGTTGTCCAGCGAGCCCCGTCCTGCCCCAGGCTCTATCTTGTTCTGGCTTGTAAGCACAGATTCCAGATTCAGACAAAGCTCAGCAACTAACTCACCATGTTGCTTTGGGCAAAGCATTTTGCCTCTCTGACCCTCAGTCTCTTCGTCTGTAATATGGGTGTCATCTACTTCATAGTACTGTTATGAAGATTAAATCAGCTAATGGGTATGAAAAGTTTAGCACAGTGTCTGGCATAGGGTGGGTCTTCAGGAAATGGTAGCTCACATCATCCTTATAGTTGTTGCTCTGGGTGTCCCTCAGGGACTTAAAGCCTCCAGGAAAGCCTCCAGGAGCCTCCTCGCCCCTATCCTGGCCCATAAACAGAGTCTCCACTCCCTCCACTCCTGTCCTTACCTCCTGCCACCAGGGCAGAGCACAGAAACTGGATGAAAGAGAACATCTCTCTTTGCACTGGAATTACCCGTTTTAGGTCTTGGGGCTGATCATTAACTAATCCCCGATCTCTGATCCTGCCACCTATGAAAGCAGAGGTCTGCCCCAGCCTCCCAGGGTCTCCTGCCTCCTGACATCCTGCAGCATAAGGGGAAAGACTCTGGATTTCGCATGACGCTGTGTGTGACCTTGGGCAAGTCCCTTCCCCTTCTCGAGTCTCAGGTTTTTCATCTTATTCATATAATGAGGGAACTGGCTTTCATACCTTTTTTTCTTTTTTTTTTTGCCACTAAACTCTTAGAAAAAACATCTTCTATGGGAGGCAGAACAACAGAGGTTAAGAGTACAGGCGCTAAAGTCAACCAACCTGGATTCAAAATACCAGAGCTGCTGTTTTGGAATTATGTGACCTTGGGGACTACTTTAACCACTTTTTAAATTTCTTCCTCCATTTCCATTGCTCTAAATGAGGTCAAAGCTAGCTCCATGTCATTCAGATGTAAGGCCCTTAGATGAGACCTTGCATAAAAGTAAGTACTCAGTACTAACATCGGTGATTGTTACTTGGAAGCTCAGGGTATAAAGTAGGTAAAGTGGGGGCAGCTGGCAGCCCCAAGACTCAGGATGCGGCAGCCATTTTGCAACCACGAGGGAAAGACCAAGGGAATCACAGAGATACCAGTGAACAGCCCTGACATCCTTGTGCCTCTGAAATGACCCTGGAACTGCCCTTCTCTGACTTTTTGACATTTGAGGAAAATAAACCCTTGTTCTTTAAGTCACTGGCAGACAGGCATCCTTTTACCTGCAGCCAAAAGAATTCTCACTGATGCAGCTGATTTCATGCGGAAGAGAGTGGGCTCTGCAGCCAGGCTGCCTGGGTGCAAAGTTGGGCTCTACCATTTGCTCGCTGTGTGACCTGGAGAAGTCAGTTCCCCTCTCTGAGCTCTCATTTAGTCACTTAAAAACATGGCAGCTACTTGTGTTTTGTTTTCTTTAGAACACAGTTTCAGAGATTTAAGTGAATCCAATCCCTCATTTCATGGCACATTCTCACTATCTGTTGCACAAGGCCACTCTTTTTGTTTTATTTATTAATTTGGTCCCTTTTATCCCCATTTCCCAATCCCATCCTTCCCAGAGCAACCACTGGGATGCGTTTAATGTGTAGCTTTTCCTTTGTTTATGTTCTTGCAAACGTTTTGTCTTTTGTGAGTGTTTTTAATTTACATAACGATATTGTGTTCTATATCTCCTTCTGGCTTTTCCAATCACAACTAGGTTTTATGAGATTTATTTCTATAACTATATGTCCCTCTAATTCTTTGTTCCTAAAAGCAGCATAGTGCTCGGTGACGTGCACCCACCACACTCAATCTCCTCCTTTACTGGCGATGGTGGTCATACCACAACCCTAAACCTAACCCGAACCTGAACCCTAACCAGCATACCACAGGGAATGCTGCACTAAACATGGTCACATGTGTCTCCTCATGAACCCGTGTCAGAATGCCTTTAGCACTTGCATTCAGGGCCAAACTTCTGGGTTCCAGGGTATACGCACTCTTAATTTGATCAAATATTTGTAGAATGCCCTTAAGAAAGGCTGACTGTCCACACTGTCTAGCAGCGCACAGAGTTCCAATGGCTCCCATTCCTGCCAACACTGGGCACTATCCAGCTTTCTTATTTTTGCCAATCTCATTGAAATAAATCTCATCATTGTTTCAAGTTGCATAGTACCTACTTCATGAGGCTGTTTTGAGAGGTCAAGGAGTTAATGTATGTAAAGTGTTTAACTCATTGCTTAGTACACAGTAAATGCTCAATAAATGTAAATTTTTTAAAAAGGTACCATGGTTTGACTTAGTGAATTCTCAGTTACTATTATTAAACTTGGCACGTAGTAGGTGCTCAATAAGTGCATTCCCTTGGCCTTCCCCAACACCCTCTGGATTTCCCCACTCCCACTCTTCCACCTTGGTGGAGTTCCTCCCAGTCCCTTCCCACAGACTCACCTGCTTTCTCTTCACTCTCCCAGCTGAGGTCTTTACGAACCTCCTGGCCAAAGAGACTCTTCAGGATGGCGCTGGCGATGGGCAGCATCATGGCAGTGGAGGCCGTGTTGCTCAGCCACATGGACAGAAAGGACGTGGTCACCATCATCCCTAGGATGAGCCTGGGAACAGAGGGAGTCAGAGGCCGATCTAGAACTGGGGCCTCTGCTTTGTATCCCACTTGTTTACACATGGAAAGTTAAGGCCCAGAGAGGACAAGCTAGTGACCAAGTGGGAACCAAATCCATTCACCACGCTTATTCTAGATCTAAGGAAACTGACTCAGTGTATGTAAGTGAACTGACCTCAGGTGCCCAAGGTAAATTAGTTCTAAAGACACACCAACCCTGACATTTTCTCTCCTTTGCCCACAAATTCTGGATAGCTCCCGTTGCAGAATAAAGGTGTCTTGGTTTGGCACCAAGACTCTCCACTGTTTCACCCTAAGTGGCCTTCCCAGCCTCCTCTCTCCCCCTTCCCTTCCCACTCCTCCCAGGCACCCCTGCTCCGGCTCTGCTGAGTTTCTCGCCAGCTCCCAAACACGCCTTGATGTCCTGCCTGCCTGCCATTGCTTGGTCCCTCCCACCAACAGGAATCTAAGTTTAGTGATTTGCTTTTCTTTACATTGAACTCTTAATCCACCTGGAATTTATTTAGTTGTATAGAGCAAAGTCGGATCTAAGTAGAATTTTTTCCTAAAGAATACACAAATTATTCCAACACCCACCACTTCTTGAATCCTTCCCTTTCCCACGGATTTCAATTTCTTCCAGATTATTTATTCTGTGTTTTAAAAATCTATTTCTGAGCTAGTGTCATACCGTTTTCATTGTTGTAACTTTAAAACATGTTTGACAGCAGCCTCATCCATTCTTCAAGGCCAAATGTAACCTCCTCCAAGAAGTCACCCTATATCTCTCATGTGGGCTCATATTGCACCATGTGTCCCTTAGGTATTAAATTCTGTTCTGTGTTGGGATCAGTTCTATAGATGGAATCTCTCCCATAGGACTGACAGTTCCTCCATGAGGAAACAGCTACAGAGCCTAGCAGAATGCCTGGCCCAGAGCAAACGCTAGAAAACCATGAGTTATTCAGAACCTCCTTCTCCCTCATCGCCACCCCCATCCCCACCACAAAAAGAGCTCTCAAACCTATCCATTCAGCCCATCTCCACTGCCACCACCCTAGTCCAAGGTGGCACCATCTCTCGTCTGGATCCCCAGAACAGTCTCTTACCTGGGCCGCATCCGTCTTCTCACCTTCATCTGATCCCCTCATGGCAGCCAAGAGGAATTTTTAAAAAAATGCAAATCTGGTCATGTCACTCCCCAGCTTAGAATTCTTTAAAGCAGAGATTGATAACCAGGGGGGCCATAGATATAATTCAGAACGAACATGATAGGGGAAAATATACCTCTATTTTACTAACATCTAATAGAAATTAAATATTTCCTTCAGTGATAAACATAGGCAAAAAAGTTCAGTATTATTAGAAGGGGAGGACTTCCCTGGTGGTGCAGTGGTTAAGAATCCACCTGCCAATGCAGGGGACACGGGTTCGAGCCCTGGTCCAGGAAGATCCCACATGTTGAGGAGCAACTAAGCCCGTGAGCCACAACTACTGAGCCTGTACTCTAGAGCCCATGAGCCACAACTACTGAGCCTGCATGCCACAACTACTGAAGCCCGTGCACCTAGAGCCTGTGCTCCACAACAAGAGAAGCCACCACAGTGAGAAGCCCGCACACCACAATGAAGAGTAGCCCCTGCTCGCCACAACTAGAGAAAGCCCGCGTGCAGCAACGAAGACCCAATGCAGCCAAAATTAATAAATAAATTAATTAATTAAAAACTTTTTTTCTCTGTTAGAAGGGTTGTTGGTTACCAGTAAAGATCACAGACATTTCCATATCACATTATAATAGTTGAGACATCTTGCAATATCATTGACACTCAGAACTGCCTCAAAACTACAGTTATGAGGCTGTTGCTAGATCTCATCATTTATTGTGTTAATAAAGAAGTACATATAGTATTCTATCACAAATTTGTGTGGTTTTAAAAAATTGTTTGGATAAGTGCATTTTGCTGTAATTGTTGTGGTTGTTGTTTTAAATCCTATGTGTTGTGCTTTATGAATTTAAAAACATTACTGGGAAGGAATCCTTAAGATTCAACAAATTGCAAAAAAAAAGATTAAAAGAACAACAATGACCTTATTTTAAAGGCCATTCAATCATCTTAAAATAAAAGTTGGAATCCTAGCTAGGGGGCCCAAGGCCCTTAGGAATGGACCCTACCTACCTGCCTCTCCAAGGCCATCTTTCCATCCACTCCACACCCACCATGTCACCTTGGCTGGTAAATAGAAAACCAGGATGATAACAGCCAGCATTTACTGTGCAGGTCCAAGCTACTGTATCATAATTTTACAGGCAAAGAGAGCCTAAGTCACCTCCCAGAGCAGGAAAGGTGGGATTCAGCCCCAAGTAGTCTGAGTCAAACTGCTAATATGGCCCCCTCTAGAACTACTGGACAGGAATCCCTGGGGGTGAGGTCTGGGAATCAGCATTTCAACTGATTCCCATGTGATTCTTACATACTTTCGAGGACTGCCCAAGGGCCTAGCACTGTGTCTGGCACACAGAGCGGCTCACTAAATATTTGAGAAATGAATAGACAAGTGGATGGTGGGACATGATGAGTTTGTTGCCCTGGATGACCAGAGCAGGAAGAGTGGGTTTAGGCTCCAAGAGATGTGGTCCCTCTGCCTCGCCACCTCTGGGCTGGACCCATTACCTGGCCTTACCTGGCCGGCTGGACCCCAGTGAGCATCAGGACCTTGAGGGCAATTCTCCGGTGCAGGTTCCACTCCTCGATGGCGCTGGCCATGATCAGACCGCTGAGGAAGAGGAAGTTGGTGTCCAGGAAGTACTGGGCGCAGACCTTGTTGGAGGGCAGGATGCCCAAGAAGGGGAAGAGGATGATGGGCAGCAAGGCTGTCACCGAGAGGGGCAGGGCCTCTGTGCACCAGTACACCGCCATGAGCAGGATGACGAACAGGCAGCGACCTTCCTGCAGGGGGGAGATGCAGGCCCAGAGGGTCAGCAGAGCTTTGGGTGGCAGAGGGAGAAGAGGTCCTGGAGCAGGGCCCATCAGGGCCCATTCCTTGGGGAGGCAGTGGAGAGGGTAAGTGCCCAAGGCTCAGACTTTGAGCCGGTGGTGTCACCTATCTGAGCCTCATTTTGCTCAACTATAAAATGGGGAAGCTATATCTGTCCATTTTATAGGATTGTTTGACGATAAAATGAAATACCCCATTGTCTAAGAAGTAGACCCTGAGATGAGCATGAGAGGGAAAAGTAGTTTGCTCGACAGGGAATCTCAGAAAGTTCTGGAAGGGCAGTGAGGAAGTGAAACAGAGAAGGACGCCAAGACAGTGTATTAACAAGAAGGTTACTACGGAGGGCAGTTGGGGCTCAATCATGATGGGGACCCTCGAAGACAGTGGAGATCGTGCCTCAGAGCAGTCCCCCTGGGAGGCAAGGGAGCTGCTATCTATCTGCCAGCTCTTGCTCCTCACTGGTGGAGGGCTGCTCACGGGAGCGTTAACTCTCCAGCACTTCGGCCTGCCCTATGCAGCAGCCAAATTAACGAGTTCACGCAGAGCGTCCAGGGTTCTGCGAGAAGCTATTGGCACGTGCAGAACGGTAACCGCCCACAGGGGTGTGGGCAGAGCACCAGCAGCAACTGCCGCATCCATACGTGGCATTTAGCACAACGTCCAACACTTGGTACCCACGCTATAAATAGCAATAATAATTACTGATATTTATTGGGCTAGTAGGTACCTGCTATTGTTTATTCATCACAGAATCCCAGTGAAGTACGTATAATTATTATGACCATTTGGTGGATTGGGAAACTGAGATTCCAGGAGGTCAGTAGCGAGGCAATGGCTGTGCAAACAAGACAGTCTACCTCCAGAGCCAGCTCTCTTAACCAAGTACCCCACAGCTGCTATCAGCTGAATGCTAGAATCTATGCATTCAGGTTGACAATGCAATTCCAAAGATTCAAAACAAAACGGATCTGTGGTTGCCAAGGCTGGGGTTAGGATGTTTGTGTTTTGCGGGGGCGGGGGGAGCTGCAAAGAAGCACAAAGGAAACTACTGAGGTGACAGAAATGTTCTAGACCTCGATTGGGGTGGTGGTTGCATGGGTTTGTACAATTGTCAAAACTTGTGAAACTATTCACCTGCTGATGAAACAAGAGCGCAGTAATGGTAACATCTTCTGATACATCAGTGTCCCACAGGATCCATAACAAAGTGTCTTATTATTCCCATAGTCACTATTTAAATAAAACTGCCTACTGCCCTGACCTTGCTTTCTTATATTCTCTCAAGGCAATGATCTTGCATGGACAGACTATTTCTTGGATTTGGTGCTGTCTGGTGCCATTTATTCTTCTTACTTCTTACTCATAGTAGGTTTTGTTGACTTTATTCAGTGTCCACAGCACACTGAACTGAATTCCATCCTAACAAGCACCATCCTAATAGAACATATCCTCAGCTACACAGGACAGGCATCAAACTATGTGCAGACACTACAATTAGTTAATCCATCTAAAGGGGCAAGGTCCAATGGTCCAGGGAGACCAATGAGATGGCTTTGGCAATAATCCAAGCAACAGATACTGGCAGCTAGGGTCTGATGGGAGCAGTGGAGGTAATGAGAAGTCGTCAAATTCTGGATCTATTTCTAAGATAGCTTTGCCAAGGATCTGCTATGATGTGTAAGGCAAAGAGAGAAGCCCAGGGTAATTCTAGTTGTTGGCCTCAATGGAAGAATGAGGTTGTCCCTTACTGAGAGAGGGAAGACTGTAAGACACACCTACATCCATTTCCAAACCTTGAAAACACATCCTGAGACTCTGCTTAACACGACCAACATAGGAGAATTTCCATTTCCCAAGTGCCTTAGCTTTTGTACCAGTGTTTACATTCTCTCATGCAATTTACAGACCTACAAAAAGTCTCTTGCAGAGGGAATTTTTGTAAAACAAATCCTCTTTTCCCATTTGTCTATTTTTTCTTTTGTTGCCTGTGCCTTTGGTGTCATATCCAAGAAATCATTGCCAAATCCAATGTCCTGAAGTTTTTGTCTTATGTTTTCTTCTTAGATTTTTATAGTTTTAGGTCTTATGTTTGGATCATGAGCACATTTTGAGTTCATTTTTGTATGCGATGTTAGATAAAGGTCTAACTTCATTCTTTTGCGTATGAATATCCAGTTTTCCCAGCACAATTTGGTGAAAAGATTGTCCTTTCCCCATTGAATGGTCTTGGGACCCTCTCCAAAAATCATTTGACCATACACGTGAGGGTTTATTTCTGGGCTTTCTATTCTGTTCCATTGGTTTATATCTGTCTTTTTGCCAGTACCACACTGTTCTGGTTACTGCAGCTTTGTAGTAAGTTTTGAAATCAGGAAAACTTCTGAGTCTTCCAGCTTTGTTCTTTTTCAAGATTGTTTTGGCTATTTGGGGTCCCTTGAGATTCCACATGAATTGTAGGATGGGTTTTCTATTTCCACACAAAAAACCACTGGGGTTTTGATAGGGATTGCACTGACTCTTTAGATCACTTTGGGTAGTATTGATATCTTAACAATATTAAGTTGTCCAACCCATGAACACAAGATATGTTTCCACTTACAGTCAGTCCCCTATTTCTGATGGTTCAACTTAACAATTTTTTAAACTTTATGATGGTGCAAAAGTGATATGCATTCAGTAGAATTTTGAAGTTTGATCTTTTTCCAGGCTAGCAATATGCAGTCTGATCCTCTCTCCTGATGCTGGGCAGTGGCAGCGAGCCCCAGCTCCCAGCCAACCACACCATCGTGAGGGTAAACAACCGATATACTTATAAGCATTCTGCACCCAGGCAACCATTCCGCTCTTCACTTTCAGTACAGCATTCAATAAATTACATGAGATATTCAACACTTTATTATAAAATAGGCTTTGTGTTAGATGATTTTTGCCCAACTGTAGGCTAATGTAAGTGAGCACATTTAAGGTAGGCTAGGCTAAACTATGATGTTGAGTAGGTTAGGTGTATCAAATGCATTTTTGACTTATGATATTTTTAATTTACAATGTGTTTATTGGGATGTAACCCCATTGCAAGTTGAGGAAGATCTGTATTTATGTCTTTCATTTCTTTCAGCCATGTTTTGTAGTTTTCATTGTACATGTCTTTCACCTCCTTGGTTAATTCCTAAGTATCTTATCCTTTTTGATGCTATTGTAAATGAATTATTTTCTTAATTTCCTTTTTAGATTGTATAGAAATGCAACTGATTTTTGTGTGTTGACTTTGTAGCCTGCTACTTTGCTGACTTCATTTATTAGTTCTCACAGTTTTGAGTTGTTGGGGTCAGGGAAGAATAATTGTAAAACAAATCAAAACCGCTTGAAACGAATATTTTAAGAGGTCAGACTATTGGACACACATTTTAAAGATCAAAAGCAAAAGCAATAATATGGAATCAAATACCACGACTAAAAATTGCCTAAGTTTTGATTTCCTAACATCTTTTTGGTTCCTATACCAGGCAGATTCCTACATATCAGGGATGAGAGATCTTAGATAATCACAGATTTATAAGTATTTATAACTTCCAGCCCTTTGTCCAAGCAAAATTGTATATTGAATCACAATATGAAACAGACAAACCTTGAGAGTAAAATTTAGTTAAAAGGAGTTTTTCTGGGAGAAGTGGGATGAGGAGCTCCCTACTGGGCCCCCTGTTCACTCCCTCCCTCCCACCTACCCTGGCAAACCTAATACCTCCCTGATCCAGGAATTCAATGGAGGACAGTCAGACCATCGCCAAGCCCCCTGCTTTATGGATATGAACACTGAGACCAGAGAGGCAACAGATAGGTGTCAGGCATGTTTCTAGAACCTCAAACTGGGGTTTCCCAGGCAGCTGAGATCCTGCGCTGCATCTGTTATAGAAAAGGACCTCTTTGTCTCAATGGGTGCTTGGAGCCAAAAGGCATCGTTCCAGGGTTCCACAGAGGCAAACAAAGGGGCAGACCCAACCCAGGTACTCCTAGTACAGCAAACAAAGATGCAGGAAAGTGGCAGCACAATAAACAGCACCCCATTTACAGAAGCTTCTGGAATGCCCACATTCTGCCAGGGGAGTTTCAGGGACCACCCTGGAAGCCAATGGATCCAAAGGTTCAGGCCACAAAAAAGCAAATGTGGCCAACAAGGTCTTCTTAGGTCTTGGAACCTGTGAGTCCACAAATGGACCCGAATATCAGCTAGAGACAGTTTTCATAGCTCAGAGAGGTCAAGTGACTACTCTGAAGACACACAGCTTCCTAGAGATGGAGCCAGGTTTTAAGTAGAAGGCCATGTCCTGGCTCCTTGTGTGGCAGAAGCGTGATACCACTTGTCTCCATCCCCTTATCCTGCTTCATTTCTCTTCATATAACCAATTGCTGCCACCTGTATTAGTCAGTGTCCCCCAGAGAAAGAGAATGGATAGGACATATCTAGATACATGTAAGAGGAGATTTGTGATAGGATTTGGCTCCCACAGTTATGGAGGCCAGGAAGTCTCATGATTTTCCATCTGCGAGCAGGAGAACCAGGAGAGCTGGTGGTGTAATTCAGTCCAGGGTCAAAGCCCTGAGAAGCAGGGGACTGCTGGTGTAGGTTCCAATCTGAGTCCAAAAGCCCAAGAACCGGAAGCACCGATGTCCGAGGGCAGGAGAAGATGGATGGCTCAGATAGACCAGAAGGGAATTTGCCCTCCCTCCACCCTTCTGTTCTATTCAAGTCCTCAGCTGATTGGATGATGCCCAACACATTGGTGAGGGCAGGTCTCAGTCTACTGATTTAAATTCAATCTCTTCCAGAGACATCCTCACAGATACACTAAGAAATAATGTTTCACCAACTAACTAGGCATCTCTTAGCCTAGTCAAGGTGACATAAAATTAACCTGAAAGCAGAGTTTGTACTTTACTGGTTTTCTCTTCCACT